TTCAGATAAGTTATATTCCCGCAGAATACTCTGAAGCAATAGGAAAATATTTTCAGCAGTATGCTGATCATTGAACATCCTCGAATAGACTATCAAGAGTGGGGAGATTCGCGTCTCCTCTACCAGAATAAATCTGGTTGAATTCTTCATCCGTCATAGCATCCCCGATTAAATGATCTGGGACAGTAGGAAACGAAGAGACGGAGTGTCTTCCTCGAGAACCGTGTCCGCGTGAGGTCGAACCGTCAGAGGTGGCTTTAGCTTTGCCTTTACTCAATCTTCGGTTGACGTCGCCCATATCCACGGACCGTCTACCGGACTCCCTCGACATTTTAATATATATTTTTTTGATATTAAAATATTATATTACTTTTGCAAAAATTAAAAAAATTTCAAAATTTTATATATTAAAATTTCGAAAATTTCAAAAAATAAAGAATATATTTAAATTATTTAAAGATTAAAGAATATATTTAAAAATTAATAATATTTAAAATTTTGAAAAATTTGAAAAAATTTCGAAATTTTATATATTAAAATTTTGAAAATTTCAAAATTTTAATGTATAAAATTTTTATATTATTATATGAATATTAAATGTATAAAAATTAAATAGAGATAATAAGATTGAGAGATTGATAAATTGAGAGAATGAGAGGATTGAGAGATGGATTGAGAAATTGAGTGATTTTTTATGAAAAAAATAAGAGAATTTATAGAAAAAACTTGGTCCCCCCTCCCCTCTTCCCCTCCCCCACCTCAACGGCTAAATAGCCGTTTGAGGTGTGCCCCCCTCCTTTTTTTTTTAACTTTTTGCATTTCAAATTAAAAAAAAAAAAAAAATACCGGTACCGGAACCGGACCGGTACCGCCGGTACCGGTACTGGTACCAAAAAATAGGTACCGGAACCGGTACCGAAAGTGGCGGTACCGGTACCGGTTCCCGGAACCGGTGACACGGTGACCTTGCCGGTGACGGTGGCGGGTACCGGCGGTACCGTTGCCGGTGACGGTACCGTACCGGTACCGTGTCCACCCCTACTTGATGGTATTCTTATGAAATACTCTAATACTCCACTAATAAATTCATAATACAAAAAGAAAAAAAATAGCACTATAAAATGTCAACTTACAATACCATTGCGGGCATTTCATAGTGTAACCACTACTCCTTTTCTCTGTCATAAATCTTCTCAAGTGCTTTTTTTGTTTGTCCAGAAAAGATTTTCTCTTAACATTTTTCACATTTAAAAATACCATAGCTAGTTAACTACCTTGTATTATTAATTACACCTAACCACTTCATGTAATATATTCCACCCACTTTCATTAATGATATTTTGGTAAATTTCCACTTTTTTAACTATCTTTAAAAAGCACAAAAAAGTTAATTTGAAAAATCTATTACGGATGAAAGGAGTATTATCTAAGGAATAAAAATATGATCGAGAAGTTGTAGATTTCTGTTTAAAGTAAATATTGAGGGAGTACTTATTAAGTGGGCATTTTTTAAAAATTGCTCGACGTGGAAATTAAGTATTCCTAAATTCCCACCATTTGAACCATTCCTAAATAAATTACCCGCAAATTTTAACTATATGTTTACTACTCATATTTTCAAATTAATTTTGTTCCATAGCTTTATTTATGTTACTCCCTCCGTCCCAAATTATAATGCCTGTTTACTATTCACAAGGTCAAACTTTATTCACTTTTTTTCTCTATTTTCGTTAGCAATTTGATAAAATAAAATATTATTGTCACTACTAGTTTTGTAGATCTTTTGATGTAGTTTTTTAATATGTAATTTTTATTTTTTAATTCTATACCATTTGTCATATAAAATGATTTGAAAATAATTTCAGTCAAACATCGTAAATCGAAACAGACGTTATAAAATGGGACGGAGGTAGTAATTGTTATGCCACCTACTAGCTATTTTATAAAACATTTGATCTAGGTTCTAAATGTGTAAAATTTATTTTTTTTAACTTTACACGAAATTCCAATCAATTGAAATAATATCTCCTCATTGAGTTTGTCCAGTTTGTTTTTTTGATCACTAACTAAATACAAATTATATTACTCCCTCCGCCGCAATTTAAATCACATGTTCCACTTTATGATATTTGATTGAAATTATTTTTAAATTATTTTATATGAAAAATGGTATAGATTTAAAAAATAAAAATTACTACCTCCGTCCTAAAAAGATTTACACGTTTTGACTAAAGTTGAAATTAAGGGAGAGATAATTTTGTGTTGACTTTCCAAAAATATCTTTGATGTGATGAGTAAAAGTAGGATGTGATGTGTAGATTATTAGGAAAAAAGTATGATGTGATAGGTAAGGTTTGAAAAAGTAAGGGGTAAAAGTGGTTTTTTAATTTAAATGGGTAGGAGATTGTGAGACGCAATTTTTTGAAAGGTGTAAATCTTTTTGGGACATAGGGAGTACATTTTTAAAACTTGCGTGGTAACAAGATTATATCATTTTATGAAATGATCGACTAAAGAAAATAAAAAAGAAAGTGAATAAAATTTGACTTTGTAAATAGTAAACAAATAATTTAATTCAGAACGTAGGTAGTATAATTTTGGTACAGAAAAGATATGCTCCATAATGATTTGACCTCCTATTTTCAAAAGTCTTTTATGTAATTTTTTAATATATAAATTTTATTTTTAAATTTCATACCAATTCTGAATTAAAAATAACTTTAGCCAAATATCGTAAACCAAATTACACAGTTTAATTTAGGACGGAGGTGTAATATTCAAAATAGTTTCTATTTAATTTAGAATTAAAATTTGTTCAATTTAAAATTAAAAAGTCAAACTTGATATACTAATTGGGACAAAAGAAGTAAAATACGGAGTAATAAAAGTATCAACCAAATATCATAAATGTTAAATCCAAATCTGTTTTATTTTTAAATTCCATACCAATTAATTAAAGAATATCAATACAATTAGGATAATAATACTCGTAACAACATATAAACAATATTATATAAATTACTCCATTAATATGCATGGCATGGCCCCCATGCATGCATGTACAGTTTTCGAAAACCACCGCACGTGCGGATTATTATTACGGAGTATTATATTAGTGCATGTAGACGGCGGCGAAGAAGGACAATAGAGAAGCGCCGACCAACGATCCGACGGCGGGGATGGCGGAGACAATGGCATCGCTGATCGGCGACGGAGCCTGGGCGGCGGTGGGGACTGGACTGCCTCCGGCCACCTCATCAGCCAAGGCCATGCTGAAGGAGGCGGCGGCGGCCAGGGCGGCGGCGCAGGCGATCTTCTTCATCTCCATTGTGAAGGAATTATATAATAAGGAAGGCTAAAATCGGCAACAACCTCAGAACCTCTGATTAATTACCGAGGAAAACCTTTCTTTCTTATTTATATATTTTTGTTTTTTTATTTCCTTATGTTTTATGGATATCAATGAGGGCTTTATATATGGAAAAATCTATCCCTTTGGGCTAATTTGGGAAATTTATTATTATTTGAAGCATGGTATTATCTTGTGGGGGAGGGAGGAATTATCTCATTTTTTTGTGGGAGGAGTGATTTTAGGGAACTTACTTTTTCATATAGTCCACAAGCAAATTATTTAATGGTTAAGAATTCTTGACAATATATATCCTCAACTAAAATTAAAGATACTTTCCAATTTATAAAAGAAAAGGTTGAGAGTGATAACTAAATTGGTCCATTTAAAATAAGTTGATGGTAGATTGGTCCTTATAAGATCTCTAAATTGGTCCATTTAAAATAAGATAACTTCATAATCTTGACATCACCATTCAGCTCATACATTGTAAAGACACACATATAATAATTGTTGATGCAGTATAAAAATTTATTAATTTATTATTTGCGAATCTGTACAAAACATGAGGTCAACGTATAGTGGTGTCAAAATTGTGGGCTTACGTACCCTTACATTTTTGTAAGATTCGTATCAAGTGATGCCTTCTCATTGAAAGAAATCTAATTAAATAAGTAATGAGTTAGAATTGTCGTTGTATATACTATGGATATTAAGATATACTCAGTATATTATATATCTACGATAATTAAATACTCAATTTGATTTAATCCTTACATTTCTCTTTTCACAGTCTACAATAGAACCCTTTGACCATTAGTATCGATATTCATACATAGATATATTTTATATTTCCTCCGTTTGAAAAAATAGTTCCACCTCTATCTATTTTTGTATATCACACAAAATACTTCTACCCCACCTGCAAGGTACGTCAAAAATATTCCAAAATTTTTCTATCCGCAATAAAGGAGAAATGTGTTATATTTTGAACATTTTAAGTGGGAGTAGAAATGTTTTGTGAAATGCGTAAAAAATAAAAGTTTCGTTGAAACATTTTTTTCAAAGGGAATGAGGAAAATTTTAATTTTTTCAAAAGTACACACATTTCAAAAGAAAATTATTGATATTATATTCATCTCAAAACATAATGTATTTTTTCACAAATCGAGATCAAAATTTATAAATTTCGACCAAGAAAAGTAAAATGAGAATATTTAATCCTTACGGAGGAAGTACATTTTTTCAAGTGATAAAATAATTTTAAATATTTCAAAAGTAAACTTTTTCAATCCTTTGGATCAATGTAAGCCTAGACCAATAAAATTTGGAGTACACCAAAATTGTACCTTACTTTCTACACCAAGTATGAGAGACACAAAAAGAAAACTAATGTCCATGCTTTGTTTGGTATCTAATTCTGTTTTTTGATAGCACAAAAATATGTGAATTTGAAATTGGTAATGCAAATAATGAAATAGCACATCTATTTCATACTCAACATCATAATCTTGCTTTTTTCATGCCCTAAGTTGTGCCTATAAATATTTCATCTCTAATTCTCAAATTTCTTAGGATTATAATATATATAATTATCATAACAAATTAAAAATGTTAATTAATTATTTTAAGGATTATTTTCAAGATAAATTTTTTTATAATAATGACTTGAACAAAAAAAACAAGAAAGATGAAAAACAGAAGTTACCTATTTTGCAGAAAATAAAAACATATTTGATCCTAGAATATTTGGTGTAATTTTTGAATACATAAATTTTAGTTTTAAATTTATACAAATTTTTATATAAACAGATTAAAAACAACTAAATAGAACCGATAAAAGTATTTAATAAAAAACTACATTAAAAGTCAACATAATAAGCAAGATGTGGCGACCATCTTAATATGGAAAAAGACTAAAATAAGAGTAAAACATTAAAAATATACTAAAATAGGAGTTCTATGTCTTTCTTCCTAAAATAGGAGTTAAAATGCATTTACAGTGTCAATCATGACCATATACATTACCAAAAAGTATTGTGAAATGTTTATGTACAGTGTCAATCATGACCATATACATATACGAACTTCTATTTAGAGGATAAAAACATTAATCTCCTATTTTGCTACTTCCTATACTTTTACTTCTATTTATAGTGATTTCTTATTTTAATATCCAATCTTTTAAGAGCCTCGTATTCTTTTAAGGCTATTTGTTTTTCCAAACGGAGGGAGTATTAAATTTATTTTCCTTATTAAATTTTTCCCCATTTTGGACTAATTTCCTTTAATCATTTTTTAAAGTTTAACAATTAAATTCACAAAAAACAATTAATTTAAGAACTCATAAATTACATGAATTAAAAAAAGTACATGAAATAATTAAATTAATAAAACAGGAATACATGAAAGAAAAAACAATGCACGTAACACTCATTTGAATTTCGATTTTTTTTCAAAGATGATCTACTAAATCCGTTCTAAGTTTGTTGTATGTTTCTCTACTACAGATTTGGGCGCGTCTTGCAATTCGTTCATCTTCGATGACCTCTCCAACGTTGCCATCGCCCGGCTCGTAGTCTGTATAGATAGCTAACCCTTTGCCTTCTAAAATTATATTATGTAAAATAATACACAGGTACATAGCGTTTGATATTTTTTCTTTCTCCCACATTCTTGCGGGATTAGCTATCAGATGCCACCTTTTCTTTAGCACACCGAAGGCGCACTCGATATCCTTTCTAGCAGACTCTTGAACTTTCTTAAAAATGCATCGTCCTTGCATGGACAAGTTAACGACATCACCATTGTAGCCCACTCCAAGTAGATGCCATTAGTCAGATAATAGGTAAAAATATACTTTGTATTGTTGGCAATAAAAGATGACGTAACTGGAACTCCACTGACGATATCGTTAAAAATTAGAGACTGGGCAAGAACATTTAAATCATTACTTGATCCACAAACTCCGAAGAAAGCATGCTATATCTAAAGATCATTTGACGCTACCGCTTCAAACATCAACATTGGGTGACTGTGGTCACCCGTTGGTTTTGGCCCCGCCAAGGCGTTGGGCAAGTCGCCCACTCCCAGTGCGTACAGTCAGTGCTACCAAACATTCCTTAAAATCTATGCACGTGTTCATGAACGTCGTATATTTTTTGAATGTCATTCCATGACGGTTTCCGCAAATTTTTTTCACTGTATAGTGCCATGACACCTTCAATATAATCGAAATAAAAGTTCTACACTATACATATTTGGAAACATAAGAACGCATACCTTTGCAAAATTCGTAAAGCATATCTCGACTTATATTTTTAGATATCTTTAGGTATTCATCCCAAGAATCATAACTTGTACCATAAGCCAAATGCCGAATTATAGATGTTTACCTCTTCGATCATAACGTTGTTGGAAGTATTGAGAATGCGCTTGCAAGTCATCGACAATTCTACAAAAAGAGGTCACCTCATCTGGAAGCATCTCGCGAATGTCAAGTTGTTGCATGTTGGTTTGGTAGAAAAATAATCTTCACGCTGGTTTTGGGTCGCACGATCACCATTGATTTGGATTCGTCTTCTAACAACTCTTTCGTTATCATTTGGGCTCAAACTCGCGATAATACAAGCCAAAGCTTAGACTTCTATAAATACTTCGTCATCACTAGACGAATCGAAAGAAAGAGAGTACAAGTTACCCATTTTTTGAGTATAATAGAAGAGAGAAGAGTGATAAAAAGAATAAGAAGAGAATTTGTTTAAAATATGTATAAAAATTAAATGGTTTAAATAGAAAAGAGAAGAGAGTGTAGGTTTAAATTTGAAATTTGAATTTTAAAAATACTTTTTCTATATGCGACTCATCACTGGGGGAGGGGGAAACCAAAAAAAAAAAAACAAAGAAGAAAAAACGAAAGGAGAATCCACAGCCGTGGCCACGATACTCGCTCGCAGAGTTACTGGGCGACTCACGCGGGAGGGAGGGGGGCGGTGTTCCGCGTGGTCACCCGGAAATGTGGCTATGCCACAGCAGACCACAGGAAGATGGGGGTGGGACATTACACCCAGCCTAAGTAGCATTCTCGAGCAGCTTAAACTTCAACAACGTAAGGCCAAAATAAGAGTCCCTTCATCCCAATTTAAAACTTCTCTCTCGTTTTACAATTCAAGACAACTTATTTGAAAACCCAGGTAGAAGTAAAAATAAAATTTATATTTAAATATTAAAAAATTAAATAAAACATCCTACAAAACAAGAGATAGCATGACTGTTGTTTTATTAAATGAGTATCGAAAAGTAATAAAAAAAAAAGAGACAAATGCAAAAACGCAGGCGCAAGATTTGACAACCATTTGAGTATAATCTCACATGACCTGTTCTATCTTATTTACCAAAATTTATGAGCAAAAGGTGGGGGGTGGCAAAGCCTGTAAAAGTACAAACGTACAGGTAAGCACTCTTGACCTAAATTAAGTCCGATGGGGGGGGGAGGGCAGTGGGTCTATTTGATTCAAACGTCCCAAATTAATTGGCCCACAAACCCAATAACCTAAATCCATACAATATTTTGATTCATGTCCTGTTTGTGTGTTTGTGTATATATATAAATATAAACAATCACAAGGGAATAATAGGTCTGAAACCAAAGTATTGTCCACTCCCAATGCACCATGAATCTTGATATCTTCTTGCTCTGTGAGAATCCAAACAATATGAAATTAGACAAATGTAAGTATGTAACTATGTATTCCCTCCGTCCCAAAAAATTGAACCCACTTTCCCTTTTTAGGCGTTCTAAAAACACTCTTCACTCACTTCATTTCTCTTTTTTGATAATTCTCTCCTGTCCAAACAGATTCTAACCATAAAAGTTTCTTTTCCAACATTTTTTAAAACTACATGAGAATCAAACTGGGAAAAAAAATTGGGGCGGAGGGAGTATATTAAAAAAAAAGCACTACACCAAGATTATTCAGACTAGTCAAGATTTTAGAACATGTATGTTGTAGGTAAATGTGGCATTTGTTTGTTTTTCATATTTTAGCAAATTCTCGGCCAAAATAGAGTTAACAAATAGAGAGTGCATGGGTGCATAACAGAGCAAAAAGCTACAAAGCGTTAAAAAGTTCACGAAATTAATTTATTCACCATGTGTTGTGACATGTGATAAGTGTTACTCCACCGTCCCACAATAAGAGTCCTATTTGGGAACTTGTTTTTAACTTTGTCTAAAACTAAGAGTCTTATTCGAACAAAAAAACGTAATTTTCATTATACCAATGTTTTTATACTAAAAAAATATATCGACCAAGTTCAATTTGCAGAATTTAGTTTAACCAATACTCTGTAGCTTATGTTTATGTGCTTTCTATGTTTTTGTACTTATAGTCTATTGTCGGTGTCGGTATGTGCGCTTATTCGGTTTGTGCTCCAACTTTGTTCGTGGATACTGTATTATTGCCTCTGCCTTTGTGCTTCTGTGCTTGTGTCAGGGTCTTTTAGAAACAACCTCTTTACTTCCAAATAGGTGTAAGGTCCGCGTACATACACCCTCCCTAGACGGCTACACCCCACTCCTGTGGGAATATACTGAATTTGTTGTAGTACCTTAGTAAAATTAAGAACTTATACTTGGTGGACGAAGACTCTTTTCTTCATGGGAGAGATGAAGTATAAATGTTTGGTATTTATTAGGTACCACGAGCAAATTATGTAAGACCACAACAACAACAACAACAACCCAGTTAAATCCCACAAAAGTAGGGTCTGGGGAGGGTGTGTGTACGCAGACCTTGCCCCTACTCGAAAGTAGATATGTAAGACCACAACAGATGACAACAATTTGGTTTTAAGTCAAATAGGGTAAAAACACAATAATCTCCTCACCTTATGTAAACAATCCATGCTGCCTGGGTGAAAATTAGTTGCTTGAGACACATACCCTGTTACCAAACAATTATTGAATTCATCAATCTCAAGATGTGGCTTTACCTTAAGTTGGAAAAAAAAAGTAATTTTAAGCGAATGTTAAAAAAGAACGACACATATTTCAAAGTCAAAGAAATTGATTTCATCATATTTTACATTGAAAGACACTAGACAACTGGAGGTGCTTAAAATTTACTAGGTTTTATTCAATTGAGTAGGGAGGAATTAATACAAGAAAATAACGGAAAAGCCATTGACATTATCAAAGTCCTTGTTTGGCTTAAGAGAAGAGAGGGCAGGGGATAGGAGGAAAATGGAGGTGCTTAGAATTTCTGTTTTGTTCAATGGAGTAGGGAGGAATTAATATTTAGGAAAAACATGTACAAATTTTTTAGACAGTAAAAAAATATGGAGTATTGATCTACGTGTATATAAGAGTAATAATGAAGAACACTTTCTATTTAAGAAATATGAAAGATTTTTTTTAAAAAAAAATTACTCCGCCGAATAGAAGGGGTGAGATATTGATAGGTTCCAGGCTCGGTTGTTAAGTCATATTATATTTAAGTAATTAGCACTATTTAATTATTTGTTGAGTCTTTTTATTTTTCATATTTATCATTTAATAATTATTTAATTCTACTTAGTGGGAAGTTAGGGGTCAGTTATTCCCACTTAGAGTTAGTGGGAGGTTTAAGGTAAGTTATTCCCACTTTGTTAGTGGGTGGTTGCGAGTAAGTTATTACTAGTAGAAGTTAGAGTCTCTTGGTATAAAAATAGACATCTAGTCATGTGTATTGATTATGGAAGATTACACAGTATTTTAAAATTGGAGAATCTCCTTGGCTTTATTAGTTATATGAGTTTAAGATTCTTACTCATATTTTGATAAAGATTTTCCTTCATCATTATTATTTATGATGTTAGATCTTGATTTCATAATTTGATAAAGACTATCCTTCATTTAATTTTCCCACCAATCTCGAGTTCTATCATATATGAATTCAGGGGGGGTTAGTATAGCTCCTTCACTTCCCTCCCTCTTCCCCCTAGCTTCCAGCAACCAAACACACTACTCCACTATCCCTTTGCTTCCGGAATCCTCCAACCAAACAAAGACTAACACCATAAGAGTATTTTTGAGAAATTAAGTAAGCAAGTAAGCAAACAAACAAGGGTGTTGCAGGCAGTCAAAATAAAGGAAACAAAATTCTTAAGTACCTGAGATTACTATGCAGTATTCACCTCAATTGCAAATTACTGAGGAAATCTGAGAGCCTAAATGTAGAAAAAGTACATCAAATCAGAAGTGGAGAGACAAAACAGATGTATCAAGATATCATTTGAGAAAGCAACTAGTCAAATTAAGAAACACTAGTCAGATTTGAAAAATGTATCAACCTTATATTTTTCACAATCACTGTAGATCCATCGTCAGCATCAAGATGACGTAAAGTCACTTCCTCCAAACGACCATCACGGTATGCATGCTGTTTTAAGAAAGCAAGTGAAAGGAGATTTTCTTAGAAAGAAGCTGCACATCATTGAATCAACATTCTTTTCATGAAACAACTTATCTCAAGAACATGGGTGTCACATTATTTTGATTAGGCTAGCATTGACATAAAATCATTCAGATAACCTTCAAAAATGCATATAGTCTTTAACAAAGAAAAGCATTTGAGTGTTTTGCCCTGAATTCCGATGCACTCTATCTGTTTCATAAAGAGGGTTTGGTTTCAAATGGGTGGGCCTTTTTAATTTTAGTAAGGTACAACTGTTATAAAGCCTCTTTTTAATTTTAGTAAGGTACAACTGTTTAGTAAGCCTTTTTAATTTTATGCTTGAGCAGGGGGTCTCTTGGAAACAGCTTCTCTACTTTTGAGTAGAGGTAAGGACTTCGTACACATACCCTCCCAAGACCATAATCTTTGTGGGATTACACTGGCTTTGATGTTGTGGTACAACTGTTATAAAGCATAAATTTTAGCCTCTTTTGATTCAATAGGCATAGGACTCCTTCGGACAAAAGTATGCCACAAAACTGGACTCTTTTTATGTGACAGGAGTAGTTATTTTTAAATAACTTAATAGAACCATTACATATCTAGTATAGTGACTAGAACAGACTCAAATAAATGGAAGAAGGGAAAAGCATCCTCCAAAAAGTGATGAGGCAGAGAGCATGTAAACAGCGTATACTTTATACATCTGACAATGCTTCAAGGCAGAAAATAAATATAAAAACAAATTCAATTTCAACCTTAATGCCAAGTGGGATTGCCAGCACACACACACACACAAACTAGTATCACTCACATTAAGCATTTCAAAAGGCCAGTCAGTATCTTATCAATTGGTACCTTGTAGAAACAACTACTTCCAAATGGGCAATTTCCATCCCCAAACTCAAAGTGCTTGCAATCAATAGAACTGCAAAAAAGGAATTTAATTAGACAATACTTTGTAAAACATACCCTGCACCTAAGGAGCACTAAGGAAAAATAACAAAACAACCTCTCAGGAGTCAAAGCACCAGCATAGGGTCCAATTAAAGAGATATGTTGGAACTCATGAGGAGGCCCAGAAGGAAGGTGAGTTTTTTGGTTGATGGGACGAGGAGAGGCAAATCATAGAGGATGAGGATCAAGTAAGCAATTAAGACAGAACTTGATGGCCTTGAACCTCTTCGAGAACATGTTTTAGAGATATCATATTAGGATCGTTGATTACTTGTGGGGTTGTGACTTGTGAGCCGTGAGCAAGTGTTGTTTGTGGTAAGGTTCTCACGACACTCGGTAGTTTCGTTTTGTTGGGTTGTCATTTAGCTATTTCTGTATTTTCTTGTTACCTTGCTTGCTTGATGTTCCTCTTACCCTCTGACCAGTTATTTTGCCTTTTGCCACTTTCCTAACTTCCTTGCTCTTTTGCTTCTTTTGTGACTTTATACTACTGATACTCTTTTTCACTGCCTTGTCACTTGTCAGGGGTCTTACAAAAACAATCTCTCTACCCCTAGACGTAAAAGTACATCTTGCCCTCCTTAGGCCTTACTTCCAAGTGGGATATATTAGGTATGTTTGCTTTATCAAGCTCATAGTTCTCAAAACTAATGTAAAGATAAACAACAAGAAATATGGAACATAGAACCTAGGCGTGCACTAAAGTAGAGCTCGCTAAGTTGTCTTGGTCGGGGATAAATAATAGGAAACTAAGGAATGTATCGCGCATAAGCGGAGTTAGGCAGGGATTTTTAGAATGGTGAACACATTCCATGAAGAGAAAAGCATGACATTGATTCTTTACTTTTAACATAATTCTTATCAGACGAAGAGCTTAAGATCTAAAAGCAAAGCTTACCTAAGTTTTGCTTTATAGTTGTCAACGATTTCTTTTTTTTCTTCTTTTGAGGAATACCAAAGAACACTAGGAACGACGAAATATGAAAGCTTCCGGCATATAGGGCAGGCCCTTAATGCAGAATTCACATCCAATCCAGATGTCGGAGAACTACCCCGCCAGTTCCGGATGCAGGATATGCAGAACGGATGATCACACTCTGACAAAATTCCAAATTTGCGTTCAGCTGCGGTTGTCTTAGAGAGAACACGCTCAAGGCACACACTACACTCTATTTCTTGACTATGTTTCAATGTTTCAATATGATTTTGCTTTTTTTGACATGTTGTCATATGCTCCTCCCTCTCCTCTGGCCTAAAAGGGTGCAAGCAATGTTTCCCACAAGTGGGACATAAATCCCCATGCATATAAGGACACTTTTCCCCACGTGGACAATCACCAGCAGCAGCAAAAGAGCAGATTGATTGATCAGCTGGATTCAGACTCTTCCGCTCAATTATATCATCAACATCTAATAAATTATGAGGCCCTGAGTTCTGATTCCAAGCTAGTTTGAGGGGAGAGTGAACCCGTCTGTCCAAAACAAAATGCTCTGGGGCGATATCTGGAAGAGGACTTGACCCACTCACTACAGTTGCAGAAGTAACATCTAAAGAACCAGTGCTTGAGAGTAAATTCTGATGAGAAGGTACTGAAGAAGATGGTGCAGAAGATTGCAATGGGGATGCCTTAACATGATCATATCTGCACCTGCTTCCATATGCACAGATTCCTTTTTGGTAGTAGGTGCATACCTACAACAGCAACCAAATTACTAACAAGTAGATAAAGAGTTAAAGGTTGTATATTAAAATGAAGAGAATTCATCATTTGCCTTGATATTACTAAAGCATATAGTCAAGAATGTTACATTATTAGGAGGAGCTTTCCAATCGTGCGAAAATTCGCAATGTTCCCCCTTTAGACAGGCCCCATGAGCAAAAAACTTACAAAGAACCCTGTGCAAGTTATAAACAGAATTCAAGATTAGCACTTCAGCCTAACTGAAACTTGCATATGAAGAAAACTCATAGTTGAGTATACTTAAATCAACAACATTTTTTTAAAAAAAAGATTACTAATATTGTCCCAGTTGGAGCCGGGGGTCTCTTGGAAACAGCCTCTCTACTTCCGAGTAGGGGCAAGGTCTGGGTACACACACCCTCCCCAGACCCTACTGTAGTGGGATTCAACTGGGTTGTTGTTGTTGTTGTTTGCATAAAATGTACTCCCGTCCAAAAACAAACTTTACACTTTTTCAGTCCACGTGTCCCAAAGTAAACTTTAAACTTCTCTCATTTTATTTATAAGAAATGTGTGCCTCACGATGTTTCTCAACCTTCTAAACAAATTTTAACCACATTTTCCCCTTTCCTTAAACTCCATGAAGTTAAAGCCTAAAGTTCATTTTAGGACGGAGGGAATATAAGAGTAGATACAATCAACACTCAACACCATATGCAAACTTCCTATTTCTATGTGTGTGCCGTGTGGAGAGGCTGTGCATCAGTGTAGAACAAGGTAAAAATCTGTATGCTAACTCCAGTACTAGAGATCCAATTGGAGAGAGAAATAGAGGCAAAAAGTGTCTTGTGGGTTCCACAGTATAGGAAAGTAAACTAAAGAAACATGAAGGGAAATAGGAAAATACTCCGTAGGAAAATAGGAAATGGGGATAATCTACTCCCACTTCTTAGCCTGCTTAAATAATACGAAGTATGAACTATAGATGAGCCTGATAGAATACAACATTGACTGAATCATTTGTAAGAGACCTGAGACCCAATATATGAGTAGCTTGGCGCAATGGCACCTCCTCCAACTGAGGAAGAAAATCTAAAGGATTATTGGGCAGCATTAATCTAGCCTTGGAGTAAAGGACGATATTTTCATAATGTCATCGGGCCAGCCTTTATGCATTACTATTTCCATTATACAAGCACCAAGTTAGGCTACTTAGAACTCAATTTTTTAATGATTTGTCATCCTGAATTTCTGGCATGGAAATTAAAATAAAAAATGCAACCACATATATCACCTATTTATGATCCAGAGACAGTCTTCCTTCTATTGAAAAGTGATTTAAGTCAGGGAATCGGGAAGTATTGAGAGTTTGTGCAAGTGTGCAAGGAAGGAACCCGTGTCACTAATCCAACTTTTGTGCCAAACTTGACCGGTGACACGGGTTCACCTTCACATGATCGCTTCCCAGTTTTCAGACCTAAAGCATTCTCGGTTGAAGGAATCATAAGTAGGTGATACATGTGCATGTGTTTTCAATTTTATTTCCATATCAGAAATATAGGGTGCACAGCAGTGGGCCCAAACAACATTCTGATTGAAGTTTGGAAAGGTTTAGGAGGAAAAGGTATTTGGTGGCTAACTAAGCTTTTAAACGAGATTTTGATCTAAGAAGATGCCTAACGAATGGAGGAAGAGCATTTAGGTTCCTATTTACAAGAATAAGGGAGATATTCAAAGCTGTGGAAACTACAAAGGAATCAAACTTATGAGTCATACGATGAAGTTATGGGAAAGAGTGGTTGAACGGAGGTTGAGACAAGAGGCTTCGATGTTAGAGAACCAATTTGGTTTTATGACACAGAGGCTATATACTTGGTGAGAAGAATGATGGAGAGGTACCAAAGTGAAAAGAAAGATCTACACATGGCTTTTATTGATTTGGAAAAGGCATATAACGGGGTACCAAGAAAAGTTTTGTGGAAGGTGCTAGAGAAAAAAGAAGTAAGGATTGCTTATATTCATGCGATTAAGGACATGTACGAGGGGGCTACAACAAGCGTGAGAAGTCAAAATGAGATAACAGGGGAATTCTCCATCGGGCTAAGATTACACCAAAGGTCATCGTTAAGCCCATATCTTTTTACACTAGTATTGGATGTTCTTACCGAGCATATCCAAGAATGTGTACCATGGTGCATGCTTTTGGTCGATGGCAATATGGCATCATCCTTATGAGCGAATCACGAGAGAATTTGAATGAGAAGTTGGATTCGTGGATACGGGCTTTAAAGTTGCATGGCTTTCGTATAAGTTGCACTAAAATAGAGTATATGGAGTGCAAGTTTGGCAACAGAAGGAGCGCGACAGTAACATCGAGGTGAAAGTTGGAGAATATACTATACCCCAATTAAAGAGATTTAAATATCTTGGGTGTATCATTCAAGACAATGGAGAAATAGAAGATGATGTTAATCACATGATTCAAGCAGGTTGGTAAAAATGGCAGAGTGCTTCGGCTTTATATGTAACAAAAAAGTACCTTTAAAAATAAAGGGAAAATTTGGGCAGCAAAGGGTGAACATAAACACAAGATTAGTGTGGCAGAAATGAAGATGCTTTGTTGAATGAGCAGTCATACGCGTATGGATAGAATAAGAAATGAAGATATGAGAGCTAAAGTTGGAGTGACACCTATTGTAGGAAAAATAATGGAAACTCCTCTCAGGTGGTTTGGATATGTGGAGAGAAGACCAATAGAGCATCCCGTGAGAAGGGTTGATCAAATGGTGACAATGCATATGGTTGGAAGAAAAGGTAGACCTAAGAGGACTTGGAAAGCATTGGTCAAGGGAGACCTTCACGTGAACAATCTCATAGCAAATACGATATGCGATAGGGCGCAATGGCGTCGTTTGATCCATGTAGCCGACCCCACCTAGTGGGATAAGGCTTTGTTGTTGTTGTATCAGAAATATAGGGTGCAAAATTGAATTCTAACTAGGCTAACTTCAGTGCTAGTATAATGAAAATAGTGAGGCGAAATGATCGACTCAATGACATACTTTAGAAAGGTGAAATTAACATCATACAATACCCTTAGGTTGCATTAATGAAGACGAAAACTATATGCACTTCATACTCCATAAGGGGCACTTTGTTGGTGCTTTTGTGTCTACTTTGTAGGGTTACTTTGATTGTGCTTGACTTGGGGATCTCTTGGAAACAATCTTTCTTCTTTCAAATATGGCAAGGTGAGTGTAAGGACACCCTCCCCAGACCCTACTTTATGTGGGATTCTAACCTGTTTGTTGTTGTTGAACTCCATAAGGGGCACAAAATAGCACATCTTGCTTGCCCATGGTAGCTAGCTATAACAACACTTAAACATGCACGTTGAAATGGAACATGCAGGGCATGAATCCAAAGAATACTGCAAAGCTTCATCGCAATGTTTTTCTTTTGGAATGTGTTTTTAAGGTTTTAAAGCAATTTCTAACACCGAACCAACATGGTTTCATTGGTTTGGATTAAAAGTGATGGTGGGGGTTGATAGTTTTAGGGGGATAAACCTTTAAAAGCCCCATTTGGAAGGGTTGAAGTTTCGTTTTGACAGCTCAGAACTCATCAAGAATATAAATTCAATCCAGTTTGCAGCTAATTAAAGCATAAACTTTGCAAAGCAAAAAAAAAGAAGAAAACATCCGCGGCCTAAAACCTAAACATTTCGCCGTCACCATAAAGGCACGACGTGAAATTAAAACTTCAACAACCACGCAACTCGCATTGCAATTCCAGAAAGTAATCCTCAACATTCAAATCCGATTGAACAATGTAATCAGGGAAGGAGAGAAAAGAGACAAATTCAAAACAGAAATTGAAATTTCTACCTTTTAGACATGGCTTCGATCTGCGGCGAAGAATCGGAGCCGGAGAACGAATTCCGGTGGGACAGAATTACGATCGTTTCGGTTTTTTAATTTTTTTTTTTTTGGGTTTTTCTTGTTTGTTTTTCGAGCAGTGATATAGCCAACGCACCGATGACAGCCTCTCGCTGGCTCAATGGTGAGAGGCTTCTGGCGGTTCCACTGCTGAGAGCGGTATGGATGGATTGAGAGTTAAATAAACGCTTGCCACTTTTTGGAAATATCTCGAACTTATGGGGCACATTTTAGACTTTCAAACTCTTTTGGGGAGCATATACGTGGTACCCACTACCCAGAGTATTTGTCCACTTTCATTTTTATACACCATTCAATGCACTTCTTTAATCTATTTTATCTTGTAATTTGTATATTAAAAAATTATAAAAATTATATATTAATAATCTATATGTAAGACAAATCAAACAAGATCACACGTGACTATATTTAGGCTTACACATTGAGAGAATTTGACGAGTCAAAGTGTTTAGATGAACAATTCCAAAATTCAAAAGTGGACAAAAACTGGGGGACGGAGGGAGTAAGAAGTTTCACAAATTTTATTTTAATTTAATTTATTTAGTTACTTGTATGAAATTAAAAAATAAAATTTATGTACTCTCTTCGTCTGTAAAAGATTGATATAGTTTGGTTATTTTAGTCGATTTGTAGCACTTTTTTATCACAAATAAAATAGTTTAAAATAATTAAAATTATAAAAAATTTAATATTACAAATATATATTTTAAAATAAATTCAATTCTACTAAATTTACTTTTCTATAATTCGTGATCAAAGAGTGTCACAGTTTGATCAAAAAAGTTAAACTGTGGCAATCTTTTAGTGATAGAGGAAGTAGTAAAAGCTTATGAAAAAAGGTTCTACAAAACAATATTTGACATTGCTTTATTACTCCGTACTTTATAAAATACGTAGTGAAACTAAGCAAATAAAGCGAGTAAAATTTGACTTTATAAATAATACCCCGGTGTATGTGAGAAGAACGATTCACAAAAGATGGAGGGTGTACAATTCACAAAAGAATTCTCTAGCTTAGAGCACTTCCAATGGTGGGAAAATCTTATGGTACATTTGGATGTACCTTTTTCTTGGTATATAATGACAAACTTGTAATTAAAAAATTATTTCAGAATAACACTACATCGTTTCAGAATTATTACTGCGATATTCTAGATTCTAGAATGAGCTCTATGTTGAGCAAACTTTAGAATGATTACTATGATTGAAAATGAATATTCTATTTATTCAAAATGAATATTTTATTGATTCAAAATGAATATTCGTTGGGTGTATGCAACTCAATGTACAGCCAGATATACAGTACGCATTCTTGGGGGAAATTTTACCCAAGTAAGATTAAAACATAATGACATTCTCAATATAGGACTATATGTTTTTATTTTTCAATAGTGTAGGACCATTAGTCATTATTCAAGTAAATGTCCAGCATCAGTGAGCATTATTTTTCAACCAGACACTATTAAGTAGTACTACTTAGGAAATAAAAAAGTTTAAGTCCTACATTGGAAAATAACTTATGATTTAATCCTACATTATTCAAGTAAATGTCCATCTTCCTTTTCCGAATAATTCCTCAACTTCTTCTTTTTTGGTGAGTTCTTAATTTTTATGTCTCTGTTTTTTTTTCTTTCAAATTGACGTGCTACTTTCACCATCTCAATGAAAATTCAATTTTTCTGGTTTTCTTTTGTGCACAGAAGTCAATTTAGGTGGTTTAGATTTGTTTGGAAATTACTGTAGAGTTAGAAATCCATATTTATTTTGCATCTTAAAATCTTAAATGATTCATTTTATCGTTTAGTTGTTTATTAATGTTGTAAATTAGTGTTTCTTCTTTAGTTTTGCAAGATCAGTAGTTCAATTCTTCTTTGATGGGCGGCACTGACCTCCACTTAGTAGTCCTTCCAATGTGGGTTGTGTGGGTGCGATTTTTCGGAGAGGGAGTTATAAATAAGGACAACCAAATTAGAAATGGGGTTCGGCAGGACCGCAGAATTAATCGAATCCACTATTAATCCCATGGCGACCATTTTCTCTCCCTCCGCCTTGTTCTCCGCCACCGCGAAACCGCCGCAACAAGCCAAGTCTCAAGTGTCCCTACCGCCGCCCAAACCGTCCTTGGCAAACATATCAACAGCCGCCGCGGCGACAGCATTAGCCACCTTGATTCTGACCACGGCGCATCCTTCCCTATCAGAAACCCCAACCTACTCCGTCTACTACGGCACGGCCTCCAGCGCCGCCAATTACGGCGGCTACGGGGGGAATTCGGACAGGAAGGCGTCGGCGGAGTACATCTACGACGTGCCTGAGGGGTGGAAGGAGCGCCTGGTGTCCAAAGTGGAGAAGGGAACCAACGGGACAGATTCGGAGTTCTACAACCCTAAGAAGAAGAGCGAGAGAGAATACCTAACTTTTCTGGCCGGATTCCGGCAATTGGCGCCGCCGGATATGGTGCTGAACAACTTGGCGCTGTCGGATGTGGAGTTGCAGGATCTGATCGGCGGCGCGGACGGCGTCCGATCGGCGGAGAGGAAGGACGAGAAGGGGCAGGTGTACTACGAGTACGAGATCGATGGCGCCGGAGCTCACAGCTTGATCTCCGTGACATGTGCTAAGAACAAGCTGTATGCGCACTTCGTGAACGCGCCATTGCCGGAGTGGAATCGCGATGAGGATAAGCTGAGGCACCTTCACCGTTCATTCAGAACAGTTGGATGAGTGAATTTATCAATGTAAAGAGTTAATTCTGAGATGATATTATCCCTTAATCTATGAGACTATGACCCTTCTATTGTTTTTTCAACTACTCTTGCTCAAAATTGTTGTTATTTTTTGAGAAAAATGCTTGGTGCACCTATTTTTCGCACACACAAACACAGATGATAATTGTCTGTGTCGCACAGACAATTATCGTCTGTGTTTGTCTGTACGAAGCATGGGTGCACCCATGGTAGCACCCATGTGGTGGCACCATAGCATGGTCCATTTTTTGAAGACACTCAAAATTGTTGTTAGTATTACCATAGTATAAAAACTTTGAAAAATGCTAGGGGTACGCCAAAGGTGTACCCCATTTGTCCCCCACCCCCTCCATTACCACAAAAATGGAGAAAAATTTTTAAAAAAAATTAAATAAATAAAAAGTAGATAAAAATGAGTGGTGAAGAAGGAGGTGAGGGACAAATGGAGTACACTTTTGGTGTACCCCTAGCATTGCTCAAAAACTTTTCCTTAGCTTAACAAAAGATTTGAGTTTTTGATTGAATTATTCTTTGAAATAAAATCAGAACTTTGTTCTAAATTTCTAACTTTTTTTTACTTTTTTTAACTATATTGGGAGAATTTCTAAAGAAATTTTTAAACTTATTACGAGTTTTCAACTTTTCTTTATCTCTTTTTTGCGATCTCTCGGCAAAGAGATATTGGAAGAATTTCTAAAAAAATCACCCTGGATAGGAATAAACATAGAAAAAAATATCAAAATAGAAGTTTCATGTTTTTGTTCTCTAATTAGGAGGTCACAATGTGATAATATGATACTGTACATGATATTTTATTATATTTTTTGGTAATATACACGGTCATGATTGGTAAAATAAATGCATTTAACTTTTATTTCGAGAATAAAAATATAAATATCCTATTTTAATATACTTTTAATGTTTTACTCCTACTATAATTTTTTTTCTCGAATTTCTAAGCCAATTTCAACCAAAGATTCAAGGTGATGGATATGTATGTAACTTAATCCATCAAATGACGGGAAGCAATATATAAAAGTGTAGTGTGGAGAGAGACGTGAGCCCAAGAATGTCTTGTTTGCTTATTATCATATCCAATCAACATTACAAATTTCTTTTAACATGTTTAAAATCTATACGTTTTTACTCTTTCATGAAATCAAAGATTTACTATTTTTTATCTTTAAGATATTATAGAATAAAACAAAATGAGTTTTATATGATTTGTATTTTTAAAAAGTATAATACTTTCTCTGTCCTAAATTATAATACATGTTCATTATTCATAGAGTCAACTTCATTCACTTTCTTTCTTTATTTTTGTTAGGAATTTGATAAAATAAAATACTATTGTCACTATTAGTTTAGTAGATATTTTGATGTAGTATTTTAATATGTAATTTTTACTTTTTTATTCTATACGATTTTTCATATAAAATAATTTGAAAATATTTTCGGTCAAACATCGTAAACCGAAGCAGACGTTATAAAATAGGACGAAGGAGTACTCTCTAGCAAATAGTTCATACAACTTTCGGCGTGTTGTTTTTTACTCTCCATTTTAGGAAAATAAATATGTGATGACTTTAGTTCTCTTTCTTTAAAATAAACATTAACTACATAGGAGTACTTTATATGGAGTATCATTATTCTGTTTTAAGGGCACAAAAGCAAGTTTATTTTACTTCACTTTTTCTTCATACTCAAACAAGAGAAAGAAAATCTTACATTTTCTTTTCATTTATTTTCTGTTAATCATAACAACCCATTTTCTTTCTTACTTTTTTGTTCTTTTTTATTTCCTTTTATCATCCAAATTGAGCCTAAAGAAGTCACTCTGGTAAAATGAGTAAAACGAATATAGAAACATCACATTCATGTTTAAAAAAGAATGGAGTGAGTAGTTAAGTATAAACGGATTGCTCGCGTGCGGGGTCAATCATCATTACTAACACTTACCCATTTAACTTAACTTTTCAATACTTTCGTTACAACCCTATATGATCACTCCACAAATGAGCACTCTTTGAAAAAAAAACCAATAAACAACTTAACCCCATGAGAAACCAAGCTAGTTGAGCCGTTTAATTTGCACGAATTCTTCAAATAAGTGATTATTTTTGTCCCCGTTTGGGTATCCAGGATGTTTCGACGCCTAAATTCTCTGTAAAAATTTGAAAAAAAATCGTATTCCGTCGTTTCCGACCCTGTCTCTTATGAGTACTTGCCGCCCCTGTTTGTGTGCAACTTAACACGAAGACAAGGCCGGGAACGGGAAAACATCAGATTTTTTCAAATTCTGGAAGAGGTTTTGGTGACGGGACATCTCCAAATACCCAAACATGAACGCTTCGGGGATCAGAAAAGATCATTTATTCGAAGAACCCACTTACAACATATCTATGAAAGGTGAGCATTGGATTCAGAGATGTGAATGAGTGCATCGGGAGAGAGTTTGGGACACTGGTTCAAGTGCAGGGCGAGTTTGGAGAATAACTCGGATCCACAATTCCGAGAACACTGCCCGCATTGCCACTCTTTCTTCGCAACCAAACACAGTCTCTCCAAATACGGGGCCCTTCTCAAAACAAGCTCTCCAAGCTGAGACAGCTCATCCAAACGGTCGTCCGAACAGCACCAATAGCTATGGAATAGCTTAAACTCCTTCAGATTATTCAACCGGACACTGTTCAAATCATCGAAGCTCGAATCCTTGCAACCCTCTTTGTCTTTTTCTGTACATGGCTCCCTCAGTAACTGTCATGTCAAGGAACCGATAAATTCACCCAAAAGGCTAAAGTAATCGCCTCTAACTCAAAAAATGTTCATATTCATACACGCACTCCCTCTGTCTCAAAAAACTTTTCCTATTTCGAACATCTTCTTTAAAATAATTTTATTTACAAATTGCTATAGAATTAAAAAGTACAACTTACATATTTAAAAATACATCCAAAGTTTTACAAAACAAATGGTTACAATAATATTTTACCTTTATTAAATGACCAATGAAAAAGCGCACACAAACAAAAGTTATCCACCAAGAATATATAAAGGACACGCGCTTACCTCTTCCATATTATTGTGAGGGACAATGGTTAGATCAGAATTGGAATCGTAACAATCTACGGCTTTGAATATCAAGGGTGCCCTGAAAAACTGTAGTTTACAAGGAAATGAGAATTTAATTTTGAAACAGGAACGTTATTAAGATTTAATTATTGGACGAACGAAAGAGAAAAAAACGGGACAAACCGTCATGGAGCCTAAGTAGACCTCAAAGGTAGCCAAATGAGGCAAGGCAAGTAAGAATGTTGCAATTCCGGTTATGTTGTAGGTCATGATGTGACCATGTAGCGCCAGTTCCTTGCAATTGAACTTTACGGCTGATAATTTGTCGAATTCCAAAACCGAAAGAGCCTAATAAAGGAGTAACATAAAATAATTAATCCCACAAGAAATACTAATTACTTTTCCCATTTCATATTAATTGTCTATTACTCCGTATGATTTTTTACATACAATGAAAAATGAATAAATGTAGACATGAGATATGTCTATATTCATTCATTTTTTAATATATCTAGAAAGTGTTAAAATTTATAATATCAATACACTAAAGACTATAAAATAAGCATGAATCTTACTCCGGGTATTTCTTTTAACCAAAATCATTTAGTCTGGTATTTCTCATATTCGGGGCACTGCCAATATCGTGGCTCATGTTCTGGCATGTTCTTAGGGATGACAAGTCTATCCGAATCCGACTTTTACCGACCCGATCGGAGCTTATTGTATCTGAATCCGAATCGAAAAATTAAATATCTGAAACCGACCCGGAAAAAATTAAACCGAACCCGACTTTTATCGGGTTGGGTTTGGGTTAGTATATTTGACCGACCCGACCTGTACCCGACCCAACCCGACATGTACCCGATTTTCAATAGGTTTTTAAAAACTCTAAATTCCTATATTCCATGTATTTTTTATGCACATATTTTTAATGTTTTAAAACTTATTGCATTTTTTGTGTTTCATTTTTTATTGTGGTTTAATATTGTGTGTCTCACATGTGCTATTTTTATTGTACTCCATATATTATTAATTGAAACTTAATATTGTTTGTTCCGCACACGCGGGAAGACGGAGCAGTTGCGGATTTCTAGTCTAACGTTGCCTCCAACGGGATCGGACAACTGCCGTTTGATCTCTCTAGTTTCACCAAGTGCCATTTCTTCCCCAAAAAGACATGTGCCCAAAACGCCTTCGTCCGCTCCTATTTTGCCTTCCTAGACCAGAAATCCGCAACTGCTCCCTTTTCCCACGCATGCAGAACAAACAAGAGTACTTTGACATCTTTAAGGGTTATTTGGTCATAATTATTTTTGTTAATATTTTAAATATTATATCATCTTAAAATTTTTTAATTTCTAATGCATTTCAAGCTTAAAGTTTTCATGAATACTTTAATTAGCATTCAAACCCGAAACTGACCGTAACCGACTCGACCGAATCTTAAACCGAATCCAAACCGAAAAAATAAATATCCAAAACCGATCCACCAAAATCAAATACGAACCCGACCTAAGTTAGGTCGGTTTCAATATACTCAAACCCGACCGAATCTGACCCGTTGCCATCCCTACATGTTCTGTTAATGATCGAAGTGAGGCAGCGTTCCGTTCAACTTAATTGTTCTGCTTACTACTAATTCTTAATAAAATCAGATTAAACCATATGAGATCAGGTCAGACAAGATCAGATTTAATCAGATCAGATCAGATCGAACAAAATTATTATTACTATTGCTATTATTATTATTATTATAATTATTATTACAATTCTTATTATTATCATTATTATTATTATTGCTATCATTGTTATTATGATTATTACTATTAATATTGCTATTATCATTATTATTATTGATATTTCTATTATTATAATTATTAATATTATTATTATTATTACTGTTATTATTACTATTATTATTACTCTAACTATTATTATTACTCTAACTATTATTATTGTTCCTATTATTATTATTATTAAAACAACTATTATTATTATTATTACTACTATTACTATTACTATTATTATTATTTCTATTATTATTAATAATATAACTATTATGATTATATTAATATTATTATTGTAATTATTATTATTGCC